ATAAAAATAAGTCTTTAAATTTTGCAACTATGATTGTTGAATTGTATGTTTATCACTTTAATTCTATCAGATTGTGTTTCATCTACTTTGGGATTCTGTTAGGTGGAAATAGCCTGGAGGGTTGGGGCAGGGTCCTCCAGAAGGCAGTGTATGCTTTGAATCAGGATCCAATATATGGTACAGTTTCTCCTATAGCCAGGATTCACAGGTCCAGGAATCAAGGGGTGAAAGTGGGAATGATTCCACTCACTATCACCCCTGGTGACCCACTAGGAAAATTTTTGCTTCCTGTACCCTCGACTTTGCACTCTACTGGCTTGGATGTTTTGCTTCCAGAGGAGGGAGTGCTTCTGCACCTCATCCCATTTCCTATTAGAGCTTTTATCACATGACTTAAATAATTTCAAGGAAGAGACGTGAAAAGATAGCTGAAAAGCTGGTCAAGTGTGGTCTACACCACATCTAAGTTTCCTCAGCGGTCTCTATCCAATTCCAGAATACCAAGGAGTCACCTATTGGTTTCTGAAGGTTTAAGGATTCGAATTAGATTTTTGTAAAGTGTAAATGTTTACCTAGTATTATTGTCACATGCCCACAAAAAGATCTGGCTAGCTGTTTTCAAGTTACATGGGACATATATATAAATTAATATATTTAGCTTTGATTCTAAGAACTAAGAACTACCACCAATATTTTTGCTTTTCCAAGAATGAACATAAATCTAACATAAAACGGAAATAAACTGAATAAATAACACAAAAATCATACAAATGGTTTCTACTTTGTTTCTCAAAAAGTTAATAATGAGAGAGGTCTGAACAGAAAGACATTTTACATGGTCTATGCAATACGATTCCATGAAAATGATTTAAAGAATGAAGAAATGTTGAAAATGTTCTTGGGGGTTAGAAGTTTTAAAATATAGAAGGAATTTTAAGCTTCATTTTTCTGAAGACACTTAAAAATCTGCTTTCCTTTTAATATTTTCTTGGTCCCTTTGTCAGTTGAAATGCTAATTCTGATTGCTGCCAGTGAATTAGAAGACCCTATAATGGATATCCTGAGATTGAAAAGTCAAGAAGGTGAATTTTTTTCTAATTCAATTGTGTGATGCTAAATGTTTAATATTAAGTAAAATCGATGTTCTCCTCCTAAATTCTCAAGACTTTATTCTAAGTAAGTTTACCCCATTTACATAGCACAGCAGTGATGTTGCTGACAAATGCCAATGTAGCATGCAACAGTGGTTCCTAATTGCTTTAGCATTTATCATGCACAAGAGACAGGAGGGAACTTGTCTCATTTTGTACAGCTCAGTTGCATTTCTTATCTCTGAAGTACACTTAAGCAGCAAACTGGGACTTTAGGTAGCTGCCTGAAAACCAGCATCTATTAGCATGCACATCTTGGAGGGAAAAAGAAGTTTTGAAAATGAAATATAATCCAACCTTATTTTGTGCATTAATTTTGCATAATTTATCTTTTGCACATTTGATACATTAGGGGCTATGCTCTGGCTTCCCCATGAAAATTCTCATGCTCATATTTTTCTAGGTTATGCCTTATGTCAGTTTTATTTGCAAACTATTTTTTAAAAAGCATTTTGGTGCATTTCCAACATATCATTTGAGGGCAATTAGCACCTATTAATGTTTCTCTAAGCAGTCACTGAATGTGTGTACTTAGCTTAGTGTGTACTTAGACATATTTTACCTGATGAGTCTTTGGAAAGGTTCTATGTATGCATTTTCCTGAAAACAACACATTTTCTTCTATTCTATAGCTGAATAAAATTCCATTGTGTAACTATATCCCATTTTCCTTATTCATTCATCTATTGATGGACATCTAGGTTGATTCTTAACTTGGGTACTGTGAATAGGAAGTGGCCATAGAGCAAGACTGTCTGGGGGAATGAAGGGGAATATCGAGAGGGTGAAAAAAAGAGAGGGTGGGGTGAATATAGTCAAAATATTTGACATATTTGTATAGAGATGTCTTTATAAAACTCATCACTATGTTCAATGAATATAGGCCCTGAAAATTTTTATGCTCAACAAATCAAAGTACTCCCTCACATTTCACGAAGAATATTTGGTCACTGTGTATGGGACAAAAATAATGAGGAAGCTGAAGCTTTGTGTGTGCATGCTTGTGTATAGACGCTTCTCACTAATAAGATCTACTGACTGTCAAATCAGTCAGTCCATTCCTACTGGTTCTGGAAGTCATGTTGTTAAGAGATTAATCCAGGCTGGGTATGGTGTCACATGCCATTAATCCCAAAACAGGGGAGGTAGAGGCAGGCAAAGGTCTGGGAATTTGAGGTCAGCCTGGTCTAAACAGCAAGTTTCAGGCCAGTCAGGGCTACACAGTGAGACACTGTCTCCAAAATCCAAAATCCAAAATGAACAACAATAGCAAAATCCAGACATTAATCCCAAAATTGATTTTAATAAGTATATGTAGATTACCCTATAAAATGAAGATTAGTATATATATATATGCATGTAAACAGATATATATTTCACACTTTCACAGACATATATATTTTACATGCATATATATGCATATACAGTGTATGTGAATCTGACTAATAAAATTTTATATTTATATATATGATATATATAGTGTATGTGAATCTGAATATAATAAAATTTTATATTTACACATATATGAAATTAAGGAAGCTAAACTTCTGTGTGTTGTGGAATCTCTAATAATAATGGTAATTATACATCCTGATTGTGCTATTCTTCACACATCCCCGGAGGTTGTAACACGCTGTACAATAAACTTAACAATCCATATAGAGACAACTCATGTGGCTTGTAAATTGTATATGTGCCAGCAGCCGGTGCCCTGCTCATACTTCATGGCGCTGAATTTGTCATGGTCAGGACCAGCCCATGAACCCCACGTGCCAAGGTTGAGGGGGGAGCCTCCATGTTTTGGTTTCTGGGAAACCAGTTTGAAGGCGCAGAGCCAGTAGACATACTCACTGGTGGAGAGCTCATAGCACTGGCTGTAGAGATATGTGAACTCCCCATGGGGGCCAAAATTAGGATATCTCTTGTTCCAAATTCCTGATGGACTCCTCCATCTCTTTCAGGGATCACTCAGCCTCCCCAAACTTGTTCCGGGCTTCTTTCTTACCCTGTGGTCCATTTTGATCTATGGGCAGCTACTGAATCCCAAATCTGTTCCCATTGCCCTATGAGGTAATCTAACTTGGCAAAGATAAAATAGATAATGGTGCAATTGTTTTTTGTAGTGTTTCCTAAAACCTGTAGATTCTGATAAAGCTGACATAATTTGCAAATGAATTCATGATTTTCAATCCTGAATATAGAATTCCTTCTGTATTCCATCAGCGTGAAAATACTACCTTACTACCTTGCCAGTTGGTGTATCTTTCATTAACTATTATTTTCCTTCCCAGTGGTTCAAAATAAGGTAATGAAAAGTGAGTCCTTCAAAAGGAAATGTTAAATGGCCAGGGAAGGAGACAAAGCAAAGTTATAAACAATCAACTCATTCTCCTAGGGTAGTTGATTCGATATATCAGTCACACATTCTCAAGGTCCCTGTGATAACTCAGACAAGTCATTTTGTGAAATGTTTTATACTAGTGTCACATCCGCATTTGTAGACTCAAGAGTGAATTGATTCTATTGAGTCTACTGAGAAGCTTCATGTTTGTAGGCAAAGAGACTAACACAAACCCCAAATGACCCATTGCTTCACTCTGAAAATTTCAGTCAACTTCACCAGAGGAGAATAATTCATTCATAATGGAGCAGAGACAACAGAGAAAAAAAGAATCTTCACACAAATAACTTACATGAACACATTTATTGCAAGTAGCTCTATGGAAAAGCAAGTCAGATATATATATATATGTATATATATAAACACTATACAGAGTTGCAAGGTTGTCTCCCCAACTGCAAACAAGATGTTTACAAACAAGAATGTATAAGAGTATTTACAAAGGAAGACAAACCCAGAGCAACTCAAAGCAGGTCTGTGAAGCAGAAATAGCAAATGTAATGAGCTGTTGGAATTTTAAAGTTTTTAGCTTTTACTGACCAAGTAACTATGTATGACACCAAATAAATGTAGAGGTCACACACACAAAAATCGTTCCATCATTGGTTTTTCTTAACAGCAGCATAAACTGATTGCTGGAAGGAAAGTGATACGTTGGCGCACATATTCTATAGATTCTTCCAGCACAATACTGAATAAATTAATTGTCTGTAAACTAAGAAATAGTGTCAAAATGATTGCATATTTGTTATGCTGTGCCTGTGACTATTTGTACCTGTGACTAGTTGTATGTACTGTTGTGTATGATGTTTCCATTCATTTATTCAGCAAGTGTTACCTCTGTGCTATACCTTCTGTATCCTGTCTGTTGGCAGCCCCTGAACCTAGTATGTAAATAAAGTGATGTAGCGGTTTCCCCAAAATAATCATTTCTTGCTACAATTCTGAACGATTATGACAACTTACATGAATATAAAATGGTAACAGAAGGTTTTAGGAAAGGCTGCCTAAAGAGCACATTGTTATGATGAACAAAAGCCACACTGCGTTACTTAATTAGGTGAGAACAAGAGAGAGAAGTCTAAAGGGACTGATGAAGGTGATGCCCTAGCAATGACACACATCCCTTTGGTTGGTAGGTAGGGAGCAACAATAGAAGTCAACTCGGTTCTTTAGAAAGTTTAGTTCAGCAACATGTACTATAAGCTTGCTCAAAGATAGAAGTACACATTCAAAGATAGAGGAACCGAGTGGCAAAAAACTGCAGGTAAATGTTACACTACTTCAAAGTTGCACATTAAATGCGAAGCAATTTTTTTTAACAGAGTTGCACACAACAGGTACATCTACAATCACATGTTCACAGGTACACAAAGGTGTACATACACACAAATGTGTACATACACACACACTAGCACTCACACACACAGACACTTGCTCAAACACTCACACCCATCTGTGAGATGATGAGGTTTGCTAGTGACAGTACTACAGCGAAGAGCTGTATGCCACCACATAACAAAGCTCTAAGCAAGCTTCAAGACCTTTGTACCTATCCTCTGTGGTCACCACCTGCTGTTATCATAATCTCAAAGGTCCAGGTTCCTAAAATCTTAACTCAGTTTCCATCAGAGGCAAGCAAATACAGCAGGGGAGAGCTTGCTCTGATTTTTATATTTTGTGCATCTTATATTGGCTCATTGTCCGAAAGGATGCAAGGCCTTATAAGAGGTTCCTTTTGGCTTAAGTTACAGTCAGACTATCAGTTGATAAGCACACATTAATTTTTTAAATATGGGAAACTGACTTCTTCATAGGAGTCCTGGGCAGGGAAGGGAGAATAGTTGTTGGAGGAATGGCTGGAAAGTGAGGGAAGGGAGGGACAAAGGAAGAAGGGAGAAGGTCCAGAGAGGGGTCTTGTGAGATGGAGACTTGAATAGGCTTGCTTCTTTTCAGAGGAAAATATTGGTTTTAAAATAAAATTTAAGAAAATAGGTTTGGAAATGCTCAGTCTGCTGGCAGAACATCATGCGGATCTATATGAACAAGTCAAAAACTTGCTCTTCAGTTCCACCTTTAAAATGTTGGAAACTGACAAGATATCACTTGAGTTGACAATGTCAACAGAATGCTTTAGTTTATTGATGAGCAAAAGCTGAGATAATTTGCCCTTTAGTCATGACTTTAAATATTGAAAATGATCTGTCAAGATATCAGTTCATTTTACATTTAATTCATTGATCAAGAAATGTTCTAAGTATGTACTGATCAGAAAAAAAAAAAGATTCCAGATCATACCTACCTTCTCATTCAAATATTTTTTTTCTTTATCTGCCATGGTTTAAAGATGTTCATGTTGAACATTCATCCAGGTATTATATCATTAAAATTTGTGCTGGCTACATTTACATAGATTGAAAACACTTTTTTAGACAGGAAAAGGAAAGCATTACAGGGTGCTAATTAAGGGATTCCTTTTAAAGAAAGAGATCAGGGAGGGAAACTAGAAAACAAAACTAAAGCAGGTGTGAATATTCTTAATTTAAAAAAATCAGTGAATCCACAGGGCAGCGGCAAGAATGAACTCCATGTGCAGGATCATTCAGCTGCCACAGTCCGATTGTTGACCGACAGAAATTTAGGCTGCGTTCTATTCAGAAGCCTCTGAATTTTCTTTCCTTTAGGCAGATCTGGAGTACTCGAAGATGAAATTCTGTGTCACTTTTCTTCTAAAATGTGTTTGATTATTTTTTTGTGGCAATGTACTCACTCTACAAAAAAAAGATGATAAGACAAAAGTTATTTGGAAAGTTAGTGTGAAGAGCTGCCACCACCCACCCCCCACACCCTGTTCTGAAACAAAAGCAAACAAAACATAAAGTGGTTTTTCAAAGATGCATTGAAGACACTGCCTTGGCATAGATATGGTTAATCAGGCATGATTAACTGTGTGAGCTGCTTGTGAGGATAAGCACAAGCTGGGCAAAGACACTAGGGCAGTCATTCTGTCCACAGGATGCCACCGTGGTACTGCTGCTGAGCAGTAGCTTTCAATATGTGAGCACTGTTCCAGTTCTTGCTGGAGGATCGTGTGAAGGAGGAGGCATTAGGCAGAAAGAGAAGGTTCTTCCTGCTCCCATATGTCTGAGTTTGCCTTTTCCTTAGGTGGATTTCAGCATAATGGTGGTCTCCTGACCTAATCATGGAATTTCTTCTCAAAGAATCAAAGTTATACCTGCAAAGAGTTAAATGAAATTTCCATCTGGCTACGAAAAGCATATAGCTCTCTTGGCTTTCAGCTTAATGAGAGAGCACACATTAGGGAGCATGGTGTGTGAGGTGGTAGGGATCAGGTATATGGAAGAAGGTGCTGGACTAAAGAAGGGAAAGAAGAACGCCCAGGAAGTAGATTGTAGAGTGGGAGTGTTACTTTAAGACTGGGTCACATCAAAGTATCCAGTATCCCATTTCATTTGAAACAAGCTAAAAAAGCAATGGAAAGCATCCTCCAGACTTGGCTTCAAGTCCAAGATCTTCAATTAAGTAGAGTAAAAAGGAGTACCCTAAATTAAGAAGTATTAAGTTGTCCTGTCAGCACTGGGTTTAGGAAATTTTAGACTCTGTCCCTGGTTTACAGGATGAAAGGTGTCTGCAACCACTATAGACTGATTGTGAGAGTACTTTTTAGTGATTCACTTAGTTGTGGCAAAATTGGGCTAGGTGAATATCATGGAATGTTTTCAGATATCATCTACATGGTTTTAAGAGAAATTTGAGGTTACAAAGGTATCTCACTAATTTAGCTTATTATTTGACTATCAAACAACTTCACATGTTCATATACATAGCACGCTGCATGTGTTTTAAAGGCGGTTTCTGACTAACATATATGACATACTGCATTTCATATGTTTTTACAAATGTATATTAACTAAGCTCCAAAAGTACCCAAGTGGCAATTCTTGGAATTAGGATCATTTGTTTCTACTGGATTGTTTTTCTTTATTCTTTGATTTTTAAAAATAACACAACTCTACCAAAAATTTGATTCATACTTCTATGTTTTCTACAACACCTGCACCAGCATTGGGTGAAAAGTCAATAACTTCAAAAAATTGCAAATGATTGAGTAATTTCAAGTTTACAAAATATGTTTGTCAATTCTTTAAATATTCTAGGGAATAATGTTTTCCAAACCAGGATAATCCCCAAATAATTTAACTTGCTTTTGCAATGCATTATGGAAACTAGAGCCACAGATTTGCCTTCATAATCCTGTTTTACTTAGGCCAATATTAAAATGAGTTTACTTTCCCTAAACACATTCCAAAAGAACAGCAAAAGGAAGCAATTCACAAGCTTGCTGAGTAATGGAAGAAAGCAATACAGGGATTAAACCTCTTTCCTAAAAGGTATACAAGAAAAGTATCAAAGAGCTGATAATCATATCATTGGTTAATTTCCTATTCGTTTTTATATCATTCCACCACCAGAAGGGTAAATGGTGATGATTTTGGCAGAGTGGTCTCATTTTTGCTCATCTTCCTTTTGATATTGACAGGTTATAAACAATTATCTTATTGTGTATCCTTATTTTACAATTGATCAAAGATATCAAGTTTTAATATCAAGTTCATGACACTCCTTTTAAGAAGTAGCATACTCTTGAAGTAATTTTGTTTCTCTGTAAGAGAGAAAACCTTAATGGCATTTGATAGGTCAAAAGTGTCCTCTTCTGCTTCCTTTATGTCTAGTATCATTTTCTTCTCGAAAATAAAGACAGCTTTTCTGTTTCAAGTTCTAGAATGCTATAAATGTGTACATTAATATACTAATAAAACATATATGACTTGAATATCCCTGGAAATTTGTAGATTGAGCAAAGAAGGCAGTTCCTCCCGGGAATTCCAGACCATTTTATATTATAAGAATCATAAATATGCTTATATTAGGGTCTGAACACTCTCCAAACAACAGGCCAGAGAAAGGTGAAACTAACATGTCCCGTTCTTCTCTTTTCATCCTCATCAACCTTATTGGCTTAATTATCTTTTTAACTCTAATTTTCCTCCATCTCAAAAAGATGTTTTTCTAGTGGTGTTGACAATCCTTGCTCTGTTCATTAGTCAGTACTCTATCTCTGCAATCAACTGGTGTTCACATTATCAGAGGCAACCCAGTAAACCAACCAAGGCTAGCAAACCACAGAGAATGAAGGGAAATAGAAGCCTGGACTCCAGAAATGAATATATAAAAATGCCATCATGCTACTTAGCTTAGTAGTCACTGGGTTTTATGCAAGCTTCATCTTATTAATAAGAAATTCCACCACACCTTTCTGTGCTTGAATAATATACAGGATGATGATCTTGTATGAGTTAATAAATATGAAATGCGGTTCCATAGGGTAAAAATTAGCAAGAACTGCTGCTGGTCTTTACAGTGCCGATTGTATTATCTCTTCCATAGGTCAAATTATAAACTATACTTTTCCCCACAGTGGCAATGATTTCCTAAGAGAATAATCAATAAAATATGGAAGGAAAATGTATATTAAGTACATGTGAAGCTCCATGTTTTTAAAGAGCAGCCTAGTTGATTCAAACCTGCCCTTCCTTCACTAGCAGGCTCTGGGCCAGTCCTGATTATCTGGAAAGAAATGCTCTGTTTGGGGACCAGTCACAGGATTTTTCATCCTAGGTCAGTTTCCCCACTACCTCTCAACACACTTGGGCTACATATCTCTGCTGCCTAGTTACTGCTGACATAAAGAATGCAAGTTACTAGAATTCTAATACAAGCGGTCTTCAATTTACAAAAGAGACATATTCCAGGGTTCATTGCTTAGCTGAAACTCAGAATAAATTACCTCATAGAAACACTGTCATAAATAAATGGTCTACACATGACTCTATTTAACCTGTGCAGTTCCTGAACTAACAGAGGAAATATTTTGATTACATCGTTAATTTCTGTGAGATGCATCTGAAGCTTCAATTTCCTCTAGCCATGACTATAGAAATAATGTCTTCTAAACTCCCAAGTTTAGAATTGTTGTGTGGGTGGGCAGGGAGTAAGTAGAAGAGAGACTACTGTATTTAAAAATTAGAAGGGAGTCTGTGGTAAAATCTGTAGCCACAATGAGGACACTTCCAATGCAGGGACTCTGAGTGTGAGAAGGTTGGTGTGCCTTCAAGGGCAGAGGTGTAAACAAGGTTAAAATCACATTCCTTGGTCACACATTCAAGGGCAAGGTTGATACACATATGAGTAATTTTCAAGATAAATTTAGAGATTGACACTTCATTGACATTCTCTCCATGTTTCAAATCTACAACTAGGAAATTAGTAATCCTAGTAAGGAAAATTTCATAAATTTCAAGAATTAGCTAAAATGACCACAATTTATGGGGAATGGGATATTAATTAAATCTAGAAGGTCTGGCATCACACAAATTGTGGTGAATGTAACCGTGAATAGTCTTAAAGACCAGACCACCTGCCTCTATGCCAACAAATGACAGTAGAACAGGCAGCAAATCTTTGAAAGTATACAACAGGAATCCCTATAAGGAAGGCTGCTACTTCCAGCTGAATCCTAGCCAGCTGGGGAACAAGATACAGGGAAGTAGTTCTTGGTAGGCCTTGCAGGATTCCAAGAATGGCCCCTGACACGTCTGCTAGAAGAGACCAGGGAAGGGCACAATATTCCAGACATGGCACCTTGAGGGTACAATTTATAGAATACAACTAATGGCAACTTTAACCAATGAGGAAAATATATCAGAATTCTAGGAAAAATAGAGATCACTTTCTCATTTCACTAAATAAATATTTAAGCAGCCATTCCCATTCTAAAAAAAAATTACTTCCTCAGCCAGAAGCTGAAAGATATTCTCTAAAATAATGCAAATCTAAAACAGCAAGCATATATGTTCACATTATGAAAAGGTCATAAACATTCCTGTATATTAAGTGTTAAACCTACTTTTCTAAAGATGGAACTGTAAGACCTCTATCTTTTTGCCTAATAGTGAATATAGTATTGCTAGAATGTATTTTCTGCTCATATAGGTGCGACAAAATCTTGACAATGTCATAAATAGTTAAAAGTTTGCAGGCTGATAGTTGTACTGAAAACTGAGTATATTATAATGTAGTCACTTCATTAATCTAAAAAGTAATTGTTTAAATCTCTCATTTCACACTCAGGACCAAACAATGATTTCCTGTAAATGATCCTCACCATCTAAGAGCCCAGCAACCTCTCTTTGACAAAACATACTGCAGATTTTAATTAAGTATTTTACAAAAGCTTTTTTCCAATACTGCCAATAAAATGTCTGGGCTAATTTTACATAGTCTTAAAGCCCTTAAAAAGGTACTAAAGAAAATGAATTTAATTTTAAAGAAGAATTTTTATGTCCCATGGAGAGGATTTGAATTTCAAGACTTTTAAAACATACTTGCTAACTGCCAAAAGCACAAAAGAACAGCTCTTTATACAACACTTTCTCTTCTACCTGTCTTACTTTTATCCTATTTTGCCACTGTGGTAGTTTTGATTGAAACATTAGGTTTTATACAAAAAGGAAAAATTAAATGAAAAGACATTTTGCAATAGCTAGCAAATGTCACTGGATTATTAGCAAAGCCATAGAAATCTAAATTCAGTTAAGGAAATGACCACTAATGGGAATTTATTAAATGCACCCTTAATTCACTTTCTTTCCTTTCACTGTTTCTGTGTGATCTAAACAGAAATGCACCATATGTATACCATTTGTATTTGGGAGGTAAGATTAGCTAACTCCTCCTGGTCAGGTTTAAACATTAAGTTTCAGCTCAGGTCAAATTTTAAAGGCTACCATACACAGTAAAATGTAATGAAAATTACCTGAACTCTGGCAGATGGTCCTTTTATAAGACTCTGAATAAATTATAGCAAAATTTGCTACCATCATAGTCAAGCAAACATAATTTTGCTCCCAGTCTTAGCAAGTATAATCATTTTCATCAATATAAAATGACAGGCCAAATACCTGATTAAAAGGCAGTGTGGTATGCTAGGTGGAGCGATGGATATGAAATCAAATGGGTGAGTTAGATTTTCAGCTCTGCCACTTACCTTGGTGACCAGGGGAAAATTCTTAACTCCAGCTTCATTTCCAGTACTTACCATCAGTAAAATAATGAATGTGAATGTGCTTTGCAAACTATAAGGCAATCAATCTGTAACTGGAAAGCATTCCCTCAATCAACAGTTTGACAAATGAACAACAGTCCATTTAAAATCACACACAGCATATCATTACTTCTCCCTACATTGGCCAGCCACATTTGTTTTAACTCCAAGTTTTTTGAGAAACATGAGTTTGTTCCCAAACAACTCCCTGTTAGTGAATCAGAAGAATTCTGGCTCGTGTTTGTGGTTAGGGACAGGAAACAAAAGCAAGAAATCCTGGTTGAGTATTTATGTGTGTTTAATACTCTGGTGTACTCAATTAAGGTCCCAGTTTAAAAGAGATGTTTTCTTAGTGGCTGACATTTTTATCATGGAAGCATCATTCTTAAAATAGAGTAATGATTGCCAACTACTTTAGCTAACTTTAACTGGGTGAGGTACTCTAATTGTTTTAGGCCAAATATGTCATTTCTCCAAAGGAATATCCATATTTGGGGGAGAATGTTGAATGTTGCCTAAAATAAGTGACCCATCAATGGTAACTGGGGATTCTCCGGTATCTGGAGATTTTATTCTAATTATTTACAGTAAATAAGTCCAATAAAATAAAAATGATTTGCTCTCAGCACGCATAATTGAAAGCAACAGGACTTGGCAGCAGGACAGCGGAAAGAAACTCGGGCTTCCTACATGGTGAAAATAACACCTACAATTTCAAAAGCTAATTACTAATTTCTTTTGCCTTTTGATACCAAGTACTATCATAATATAAGCAATTTGGCTGACCCATTATTTGATGCCATAAACATCTGTCTATTTCATCTTCCTATGTCAGGAATGAAAATTATCAAGGACATTTATATCCCAAGTCACTTCAATCTATCAATTCTATATAGCAGGTGAAGTAGTAAACCAAAAGCCATACAATGGTTTAGGATTGGACTAAGTTACATGAGACACTACACTCTCCTAAATGCTAATGTGTTTAAAATGTGAAGCAGTTATTATCATGAGAATGTGTCAAAATATTTCATTTATAATAAAATCATACCCAAGCTATATTCTGAGTGTTTCTTTCTAATAGACTTGAACAATCAATCATAAAAATACTTATATACAGCTTGACTATACACAAAAGAGATTATACATCATTTCTGAACTGCATGATGAAAGCAGTCTTAATGATTTATAATCCCACTTCTGTTATTATCAGATCTCAATATAAAGATCCCAACTGTGAATAACCATGTGGAGCACTTTAAATGAAAATAAAGATTAATGGGGAAGTAAGACTTGAAGACACAGAATTTTAACTTGGCTTTGTGTTTCTAAATGCAACAGTAACAGTCACAATCTGGACACTGATCCTATATAATAATGCATAGCACTTTCTATATGCTAGTCATAAATATACTTCATAATTTAAAATTTCTTATTGAAATGCATAACTCCTAATACTGTGCCTTTATTCATCTTTCAGAACATTTTTGTTTCTTAACATGATCTTTTCATTTATCTAAATGCTAAGTAGGAAAATGAATAGAAGACAGAAATGGGGAAAAAGTCTGTATTTTCTGGAGGAAAAAATTATTAGATTCATTTGGCCTGTTTTTAGCACTTCACAGACAACATTGTAGTTTATCAATTCACACACACACACACACAAATGATAGCCAATACCACTTAATGCAGTGGGTTGTTTCAATTGCACACCTCCTCCCCTACCTCTATATATCTCAGCAAATTACATGCTAAATTACCCCCAGCACCAAGAAATTAGCTAGTTCTCCAAGAAACTAAATCATCAGTTTAACTGATTGGAATTTTACTTCAGTGTTAAACCAATGACACAATAAATATACATTACATTTGTAAAGTGCTTTTATTTTTCCAACATGCTTCCATATTCATTCCCTTATTTCAATGTAGCACTTTCCTCCCCATGAGATAAATTCTCCTTGTTGTCATGTCACTCAATAAAGTTAGTAATTCCCTCAGCAAACAAAACTTTGAGTACATTAAATCTCCAAAATAGCTACAAGGCCATAAATCAGTAATTTATGCAAATATAAGCATCACTGGATCTCCATAATCACTGGGAAGTCAGGGCTTATTTGAAGAACAGTAATAATTCACTATTTTTAATCCTTCTAGGAACAAAGTTTAGGGTATCAGAAAGTGTAGACAAACTCTTACAAAACTCGTCATTTGAAAACTCATCACTTCAAAGAACCACAGGGTCCCAACTCTGATGCATCATCTCTTTCTGATGTGGAATTTTACAACAAAGTTGTAAGTGGTACCTTCAGCAGTTAAGCTCCAATAAAAGCTTAAGACGAATTTCCAGGTATACTTTCTATTGACTTATTCCTGAAAAGCTGAGTATCTTATAAGTTCTTGGAAATGGAACTATGAATTTTAAACACATAGTTATGATAGAAGTGGTGAGTGAATGTGTTTGTGAGTGTGTATGTATGTGTCTGTGTGTCTTAGGGAAGAGTTTCACAATTTAAAGGACATTTGAACTGAATCCTTTGGCAAGCCAAAGCATCCTTTTGTTGTTTTAATGATCACTCTTTTAGGGTGTCCATGAGTTTTTGTATGGCATGTTTTCTATAGTAAGGAGAGAAAGGGGTTGGGGGGCTACACCTGCACTAAATAGGAAGCTCGTTAGGTGACTGTTGTGATCAATACCCAACTTGTTCTGCCTGATCAAGCACAGTGGGCAGAGATCTGATCACAAAGGCATTCCAGAGAGCAAGCAAAGCAAAAATCTCCACTTAAACTGACTATTGGAATGAAAACTTCTGGGGACCATCCCTTCCCTTCACTGGGGAAGAGGCATATTTTTCTAAAGAGAGAAGCCAGTGCAGACTACAGGGACATCGTTTTCTACAGACATTCCTTGAGAAGGTCTCAAGGCAACATTGTGCAATCTTGTATGCAGATTTACTCCTAACTTTTGTTTCTTATGGTCCAACAGTACTCTTCCATTTTCTACCTTTAGAAAATTATCCCTTTAAAAACTCCCATTGTTCCAGGGTTGGCTGCCCCCGGGGTCATGTCTTCCTTTAGCTCTGTTGTCCTGTTTTCCTTGATTTCCTAGAAGACGCACCAATTAAATGTTTTAAATGCTTTTTTAAACCCTTGAAACAATATTGATATTCACAATGAAGATGTTACTACATTCTCTTCTGAGAGGGGGTGGTTTAAAGAAGAAAATGAGACACAGAAAAAGTGATTTCTCTTTCCCTACCAGTGACAAGGAAATGGAACACTCATCTCACCATTTTTCCTGTGTAAAAGCAA